AGGTAGGTGGAGGGTGCTAATGTAAAACAGTTGTGCCAGGAATACAAAGTAAAGCAGGTTTTTCAGTATCTTCCCTGCTGCCTTATTTGCCTCTCGCATTTTGTTTAGCTTGGACAAAGGAATTTGCTTGTGGGTCGCTTTTGTTTATGGCTTGTATCACCCTTTGGGTCTCGTGTCCTTGCTCAGTGTGCACTGGCTAGCAAAGAGTACCGACCGTGTGTCTGTTTATCCTGAGCTGTTCCAGTTCACCAACACGCTGTTCTTACCCTCTCGCGAGGCTTGAGGACTGCCCTTACGAAGTACGACGGGAGTTGTTCTGTGTGTCGTGTTAAATATTTCATCTTTGTTTGATTTACCGAGCAAGGAAGTAAACTTCTTCGCTGTCTTCGCGTCACGGAAGCGAATGCTAAAGCCCAGGCTGAATCCGAGCGAGTAGAAATGTTTAACACCTAATTAATGTACGCAAAGTGTTAGGGGTAAGACTAGCACAATGAAGCATGTCAGCAGACACAAAAAGGCCGATTAAAAGAACACGGAACACTCATGCAATTAGACTGAATTACTTTAAAAGTAGCACCAGGTTATGACACTTGCTTAAAAGGCACTAGGCAAACTCGGTGGGTTCAGACCAGTGTCGCACTGGTGGACGACGTGGGCTAAACCCTCTCTCCGGGTCTTTTCCAGCCCATTGGAGCTCTGCTGCTGGAGCACTGCAGGATCACCAAAGAAGAGGAGAACGTCTTCTCAATCAGTGAGTTCTGTGTACGCGTTCCCTCTGCCTTTCTCTTACGGCAAATAGTGCTACGTAAAAGGAAATGTTTTGCTGCTTAGTTCCTGCTTTTCCCGCTGTTTCTCTGGTGACAGTGGGGTTAGTGCCCCTCAGCCCTCCTCCTCCTCCATGGGGTTAGTGCCCCTCCGCCCTCCTCCTCCTCCTCCATGGGGTTAGTGCCCCTCGGCCCTCCTCCTCCTCCTCCATGGGGTTAGTGCCCCTCGGCCCTCCTCCTCCTCCTCCATGGGGTTAGTGCCCCTCGGCCCTCCTCCTCCTCCTCCATGGGGTTAGTGCCCCTCGGCCCTCCTCCTCCTCCTCCATGGGGTTAGTGCCCCTCGGCCCTCCTCCTCCTCCTCCATGGGGTTAGTGCCCCTCGGCCCTCCTCCTCCTCCTCCATGGGGTTAGTGCCCCTCGGCCCTCCTCCTCCTCCTCCATGGGGTTAGTGCCCCTCGGCCCTCCTCCTCCTCCTCCATGGGGTTAGTGCCCCTCGGCCCTCCTCCTCCTCCTCCATGGGGTTAGTGCCCCTCGGCCCTCCTCCTCCTCCTCCATGGGGTTAGTGCCCCTCGGCCCTCCTCCTCCTCCTCCATGGGGTTAGTGCCCCTCGGCCCTCCTCCTCCTCCTCCATGGGGTTAGTGCCCCTCGGCCCTCCTCCTCCTCCTCCATGGGGTTAGTGCCCCTCGGCCCTCCTCCTCCTCCTCCATGGGGTTAGTGCCCCTCGGCCCTCCTCCTCCTCCTCCATGGGGTTAGTGCCCCTCGGCCCTCCTCCTCCTCCTCCATGGGGTTAGTGCCCCTCGGCCCTCCTCCTCCTCCTCCATGGGGTTAGTGCCCCTCGGCCCTCCTCCTCCTCCTCCATGGGGTTAGTGCCCCTCGGCCCTCGTCAGCTGCCAGTTGTTACTCTGGCATTGCCGTGCCCCGTCCCAAGGACGGCGGTATTTCATTGCTGGCTGAAACAGTCTGTGTGATTTGCACAGCTGCACGTGAGGAGAGAAGCAGGAACAACAGACGGACCACGGCTTAGGGCTTGTGGAAGTCCCTCTCTAGGAGGGTTTGGTATTGACAGATTGCTGCTTCTGTGCTATTGCATTTTATCAAAAAAAAGTGAGCCTCAGATAAACCATCTGTCGGGCTAATCTAGCACCAATCCTCCCGCCACGCTGTTTGTCCTTGTGTTGATAGCCACGGCTCCAGCTGGCTCGTGGTGCGTCGTCCTTTGTAAGCAGCCTTTCATCCAACAGCTAATCATTGTGCGAGAGGTATGTGGCGAAAATAACAGGATGTTTCTCCAAGGCCATCCCCATATCTTTTGGCCTTGTTGTCGGGCACAGCTGCTTTTCTGTGCAGAGCCTTGTCTCCTCTTTTAGGTGGGAGAGGTGCTGTTCTCGCTCTCTCCAAAGGACCCTCAAACAGCCCGAACATACCGATCTCTCTAAGCACCACGCTCCGAATTTCTGGGGCTTTAGGACTGTCGAGAGCTCTGGTGAATGAGGATTCCTGAGAAAAGTGTTAAAACCGATGGCAGCCGGAGTCAGGTTGTGTCCCCGCACGGCAGCCCTGAGGGGTTTGATGCAGTCTGACCCACTTACTTCTCAGCAGCAGCCTAGATCTCTGGACTGTGTACTCAAGAGCAGAGCTCTGGGGACAATGTAATTAATTAGATGTCCTGATTCTGTCTTGGTAGAGAACTGGAGTTGCACGGGGACTTGCTTTCCACTGTGCACAGTACCAAATTCCTAAAAGCCTCGAGCAAAGACAGGTCAGTGCCTTCTCCGAGTGCAATTTAATTCCTCAGATGGCTGCCCTCTGCATATATCGAAATCACTTCCTTGGAGCCATTTTCCACTTTGATTACTGAATCTCTGGTGACTGTTTGCAAGGAGGCTCGGGGAGTTTCAGTCCCGAATCTGGCCGTGTTGGTCCGGGTCCATTTCCGAGCTGTCGCTCTCAGTTTGAGAAGTTGCTCTTTCCTCTCTGAAGTCTTTGGCTGCTCCAAGCTGCGGAACGCTGTAGGCAGCTGCTCCAGGCCAGCCGGGAGCCACCCAGGGTAAGGGAGAGCGGACAGAGGCCTGGCTTACCAGCTTGTTCACAGATCGCCTTAGTTGAGGAGAGGCACTAACTGTGGCCTGGAAGAGTGGCTCTTGCTGGGGAGGGAGAACAGTGGAGCGCAGGCAGCTCTGCCAGGACCTCCCTTAAACCTTTTCCTTATCCCTGGCAGGTTTCATTGAGGAGCCGGAGAGGAAATACTGCTTCGAATGTGACAGCGAAGAGCAGTGTCAGGAGTGGATTGAGGCACTCAAGCGAGCCAGGTAGGCTGAGCCGCTAGTGCGAGGCCTGCACTCTATGCTGTTCATTTTCTGGGATCACCTTGTGGTGAACCCAGGGAGGAAAGAGGTCGTCTCCTCCCAGGCAAGCTTCCCTTCAGCTCTAAATAGCATCTGAAGCTTCTCTACATCCTTTTCTGCTCAGCCTGCCGTGTGGTCTGTTCCTGTCTTACAGCTATGAGTTCATGAGGAGGAGCTTGATTTTCTACCGGAATGAGATCCAGAAAATGACAGGGAAGGTGAGTCCCTCGCAGTCGTCTTGTCAGGTGGTGACCGATGGGTTTGGACTGGAGCAGAGGCTGGTGATCTCGGGTGTTGCCGCCAACTGTCCTGCACGAGGCTGTTTGCTGCCATGTGTACAAAAGAGATCCCGTAGTAAGCCAGCTTCTGAAGCCACGGTCTCGACAGCCAGACCTGAGAGTCTTCCTCTGCCGAGCAGCCTGCGTTGTCTTGCTCAGCTCCGGCTCTCGTACGCACACTCTTCGCGTGGTGGAGTGGCCCGAGGTTTGTAGCCGGACAGGTCTGGCCTGGGCTAGCCTGGACCCCCACTGGTTCCCTGGAAGAGTTCACAGGCAGCCCTGGCCAGATCAGAGCGTACGTGGGTTGAGATGCTGCTCACACCTCTGCCAGGCTCCTCGGAGCATCCCTGCTCGAGGTGACGGAGGTGGCTGCGGCTCACCCGCGCGCTCCTGTGCCAGCGTGGACTGAATACAGCCTGTGAACCTTGGTTATCTGCCGTGTCCTCCCCGGGGAGTGCTTGACTTTCTGCACCAGAAGCAGCAGCCAAGGGCTGGACTGGGGTAAATCCAGCACACGACTGGAATCGGCACCCAGCCCAGCCCGGGACTGCAGACTGGTTGAGGGACAGTCCTGCTGGCCTCCCCCCTTGTCTGTGTCTCACTGGTGCCTTCCTGTGCTGCAGGACCCCCTGGAGCAGTATGGGATCTCCGAGGAAGCCCGCTTCCAGCTGGGAACACGCAAGCAATAATCCCCTCGCCTGGGCTGAACTGGCTTCTGGCCCCAGACTCGCCCTGGAGGGTCACCCCCAAGCCCCCCGCCCCCGGGAAGAACAGCAGCAGTTCCCCACAGCGGTGACCAAGTGACTTCTTAATTTATTAGCCAAATAATTTTGTATGATTTTTTTAAAGGGAATTCATTGCACATTCCCGCTTGCCCCAGCTGTGGAGGCAGCCGCTCTCAACTGCTCCCTGCAGACTCTGCCCTTGAGCTGACACTGCACCGCTGCGGCGGTGGGAGTCAAACCACCCTGGCTCCCAGCGAGAGCAGAGGAGGCAGGGACTGAGCAGAGCTCCCAGCACCTGCTGTCCTCCAGCGCGGGCTTGCAGCCCTCTGGCCTGGAGCTTCTGGGGCAGGCCCTGGGCCAGCTCTAGCCCTCCTCTTCCTCCCTGTCCCTCTCCTGCAGGGAGCTACTCGGCGTTTCTGGCTCAGGCTCTTCCTGCAGGCTCCAAGGGAGCCATTGAGGGTTGTTCATCCCCCTGCTGTAGGAGGATGCTCCAACTGATTGCATTTCTGTGCTTGCAGGGTTAACCCTGTCATGCCCTCTCCTGTTCATTGCAAAGCCATTCGGTTGCCGAGACCTGCTAGCAGAGCCTGAGGGCCGGGCTGTTGAGCAAGGAGGAGGGGGAGGCCTTCCGTTAACACCGGGAGCGCTCAGCCACAAGCTCCAGCTGACAGGGAGGGGGCATTGACTCCCCTGTGTCAAGGCAGCAGTGTCTGTGCAGCCACGAGCACCTGCCTCTTGGGGTTGTTTTCTTCTTTTCCCTTCTCTGGGCAGGTGGTGCTAATTCCTAGAGGCTTGACAAAAGCTGCAAAGCACAAGGGAGGGAAGACGGGGCTGAGAGATCCGAGTTGTGATCCTGCCTCTCTCTGCAGTGCTGTGGGCTGGGCTAAGCTGTGCAGTTACTCAGCTTCCCAGAGAGGGAAGCCAGATGGAGAGGTTTGTAAAGACAGGAACTGCTCCGCTTTGGCTGGATGTTTGAGCTTCAGGGCATGCAGAAGTTAAACCCAGGGAGCTGTGACAGGCATTAACGCTTCATTCCCTGAGCCATTGCTGCAGCTTTTCTCCCCTTTGTGAGTGTCCAAAGGGAGAGACCAGAAAACTGCCAAGGTCACAGTGAGCTGCCAGGGAACAAGGGCTGCCTTCCCTGGGGCTCCTGTAACAGAGAGATAAGGAACAACGTCTCCCCTCGAGGCTCCGCACCTTCAGCCATCGCTCTGGCTGCACAAAGGAAAACTGCCCAGAGAGGAGGGATGGAAAGACACTCCCCACACCCGCACCCAGGGCTTCAGGAGACCCAGTTTCCTGACTCCTGCAGCAGCAGAGGACGCAGCTGGCTGCAGCAGCTCCCCTGGAACTAGGCAAGGAGAAGCTCCAGGAAAGGCCCTTGGGAAGGTCCCAGGTAACACTGTCAGACAGTTGATGACTCGCTGCTGGGGCAGGTAAACGCAGCAGGAGGGCCTGGCCTGAGCTGTGGGGGTTTTCAGCTGTGGGCTTTGTTCCACCTGGCTAGCAGGAAGGCTGCTCTGCAGCTAACCAGCAGGTGGTAAGCGAGCTGGGGTAGAGCAGCCTGTGCTGGGATCTGGGCTCAGAAGGGAAGTTTTGGGTCTCTTCCTCTTTGGCTGGGAGTTAATGCTGAAACAAGAGCCCATATTGCAAGCTTTAGTGGCCTGGCCTTCCCTCTTTACCTCATGCTGCCGGGCACCAGGAGAGTGGCAGATGTCACTGATGGTTTATTTTTAACCTCAAAGCCAAGATTTTTCCTTTCCCTCCCCAGATGCTCCCTTTCCCTCCAACGGTTCCAGGTGCTTGCCCCAGAAATTACCAAAATAAGCAGAGGGGCAGCTGTCCTGCGTAACAAGCTGAGGGCATGACAGGGTGGAAGCAGAAAACAGGGCAGTTTTGAAGACAGATGGCAACTCCAGTGGAAGCAGCAATGAGGGATTAAAAGGAGGAACATACGAGAGCTCGTGCTTTAGGGAATTAGTGTCCTCGGATGACTTTAAAGTGCATTTTAATCCTCACAAGCCTACTCTGCTTTACCTCAGCGCAGGGGCATGTTCCTGACATGCTGGTGGGGTACACAGCAGCTTTACTTACTGTGAAAAAGAGACTCGTCTGTCTGGTCGCTCGAGGGAGGACGGACAGACACACTCCAGGCTCGGCAGCAGGGTAACCAGAGCTGCGCTGCAGCCCCTGTTCCCCCTTGTGTAGCGTGGGCCGAGCAGAGCAGGCGTGGGCTCCCCCACCGCGGGTATCGCAGCTCTCTGCCTTCAGCGCTGGCTTACCAGCGGCGAACGCTTCCGCAGCTCCTGCCAGCCAGCTTCGGAGGCAGAACGTCCACGTCCACGCTCAGCTCCCCAAGGTTCGGCATTAGCGAATTCTTCAATACGCAAAGTCAACCCGCGTATAAACAAAGCCCCGGGAATTCTGCCAACATTCAATCATTTCTAGCAAACAAAATTGCAGCGCTACAGCGAGGCTCACCGATTCTGCCAGCCACCTTCAGTAGCTAACAGTTCTCAACCGTGTGCCTTCCAGGACTGTCGCTAGCATCCTCTCCTTCCACGCCTTTCAGAAGGTAGAGCTGGCACCCGCCATCTTCACTGTACATAAAATGGGCATTTTATTTCGATGTTACGGGGAACAGTTGGGTGAGCGGGAGAGAATCCCAACACTTATTTAAGAGGCAACAATGACATTTCTTAACTGAATGTAAGACAAATGCTGTGAAGAGTTACACGGGCCAGCGGCAGGCCCAGTAACTTGGTTAGATCAACTTCTAGAATAGTGCTAGGACACTGGGTTAGGTTTCAGGACTAAGGGAAGATGGTACTTCTAGACACTTTGAGATCTGCGTCAACTGCTGGTGATTTATAGACAGTTGTTCATTTTTCACACTCCGGTCACTATGCTTTTTGTGTTTCAGTGGCCTGTTCCAACGAGCGCTGTGTACAGGCTCCCTGAAAGTGTACTGAAGCCATTTATCTGTTGTACAGTGAACACTTCCAATAAAAACTTGTTTTAATCTTTGTGGCAGTCAGAGCTGTTCTGAGAAACCGAAACCGCTGGGGAGGGGTGGCTGCAGTGAGCTCAGGGTCCAGCGCAACTTGGGCGGGGGGGGGAGGGGATACCGGGCATCTCACCCGACTGCCGGCAGCTCCACACCTTGGCACCGCGCTGGAGGAGGCGTTGCAGCAGGGATCAACGACGGAGGAGCAGCGGCCGCGCAAGCTTTTGCTAACGGAGCCGAGCACTTGGCAGTAGCGCGCCGTGACACCGCGTTCAGGAAGAGGGGCTGGGTCAGACTGCTGCTGCAACGTGTTCCCAACGTCTAAAAACCGACCTAGAGCCTTCCCACGTTCCACGAGCTGCGCAAGCGTTCAGCGAAGCAGGGCCTTCATCTCGTTTTAAGAATCCTACAGCGAATTAGCCTAGAAAGCGTTACGGCCATCACTTCCAAAGTTTGCATACATTGCCTGGCTGATTTCAGCTTCGTTACAGCAGTGAAATTACTGGCTAAAAGGGTAAATAGGCAGCGTCGCTACAGTGGGTCTGCAATGCCGCTGGCGTGCTAAACCCCGAGAGCTGAACTGTCCCCAGCTTCGCCAGAGCTAAACGCGTTGCCTAATTCAGGATGCGGGGGAGAGAAGCGGGGGCCTGTCCCTGCCTGCGCCTGAAGCAGTGAAACTCCACAACAGTACGGTGTATTAAAATACATACACTTTAATATAAAGACAAAACTTCAAAGCATTGTTTCAATTACAAATCAAGGTAAAGACACGAGAAATTAAGTGGAGGGAGGGGAGGAAAAACTAACTCTTACATTGTGGAGAATTAGAAAGGCAGGGTGGAAATATATATATTATACATACATATATATACACCAGAAGAATTCAAACTACTTCTATGGAAGAATGAAAGGAATGACAGGACAACTTACCAGTATTAAAAAAAAAACCAACAAAAAAAAAGATAAATTAGGGGAAGTTTGAATTTTAAATAATTCAGTTTAATAGGCTAAATTATATAAACTAATTCCTATTCACTAGGAAACATCCCATATCACTGTTCTAAGAAAATGGGTTTTTTAAAAAATCCATTGAAAAATGGATTTTTATTAGTAGTTAAAAGTTTACTAATCAATTCCTGAGCAACAGCAACCTCATAATCTACTGCTTTCCCCATCAAAGTCCCACTCAGCGAGGGCAGGCTCTCACTCCTAAAAAGTTTAAGTAGAACAGAGACCTAAAAAGTTGGTTTTCATTTGAAATTGATCACTTAAAAGATTAATAGGTTAAAAAAGCCAAGCAGGATGGATCAACCCATTCCACCTTTTCCTCGTTAACTCCAGAAACAAGACCCTTCTAAAGAATGATTTGACTGCACCAGAAAAGCAACCAGGTGTACCTTGAAAAAACCAAAGGATCACAAAAGACTTGAGAACTTCAGGGTTAGCATCGTAAAACTTGGAATTTTAAGACGAGATTTTGTTTTTAAACTATAAAAACTTAAGAAACCTCTTCAGAAAGAGGGTCGCAAACAGCAAATACACTGGAGAAGTATTTCCCATTTTTTTGTCTCGGGTTTAAACCCTGAAGTTCACAATAATAGCATCTTTTATTGCAATATTCAGTCTAAATAGATATTTATATATTTATAATGCATAAGGATAAAATATGGCACAACAATATTTTTAAAACTGGTAATCCATCTTTTACTGAAAACCTGATATGCAAGCTACGGAAATGTGGAGCAAAAAAAGGAGGAAAAAAATCTTTAACAGCCATAAAACTTCAAATACTCGTACACTGACTACACACCTGTGCTTCCAAAAAATCTAATTCTTGTGACTTTTTCCTCAGTGCTGCAAAGATAGTTCACAAAAACACTGTCTAGTCTCTTCTCCCCAAACTGTGATTTCAAAATACACTAATTGTTGGTTTGCAGTCCACTGTACAACGTCCGTTCCTTAACGGAAGAAATCATCGTTTGGAGCTCCCAATGCTTAATCCTCTTTATGCTTTTGGCTCAGGCAAAACAACAAAAGCAGAATTTTTCAAGACAGCCACCTGTG